ATAGCCTGCAGCTTTGTTGATGATCAGGGCAACCTGGAGAAAGCAAGTGTTAATGAATAATAAACGATTGCACTCTTTAGTTTTTACCGGAAATCTTGGGAATAATTTCCTGAGTATTTTTACTATCTGATTTAGATTTAGAGATGATACCAACCCCAGCTAACCTAGTATCCATTCATTTAATAAACATTCTTTTATACGTAAATGATGGATGTTCAAGACCTTGTCGTTTTAATTTATTTCAATTTTAAACAAAAAATAACATTTTTAGCGTACAGATACATATACATAATATCGAGTGTCTGTATGTCTGTTACCAGATGGAAAGTTAAACGTCTAAGGTCATACGTTAAAGAAGGAAACAACCGTGCAGTATTCATGGGTTGTCGCTTGTTTTGAATATATCGTTAGAGAAAGCATGAAATTTTGATTCTAGCTGAAATACTTTCGATTGTCTCCAGTAACTTAAACGTAGATGAAAATTAACTAGACATATTGTTAATAGACTTTTTAAACATAGATTATGTGAAAACTACCGATGTAATTCAAACTGGATAAACAACGGTAGACCATTCGGTATAATGTACACCATACTACCGGTAACTCAACACTTTAATGATCGACTATCCTCTGGCCGACATTCTACCATAGTATACCAATAATTATACTCTGTTTAAGAATCTACTGCTGGTATATCGACGGTAGTGCAAGCAAACATACAACATAGGTATGTTCTAGATTTTTTTTTACAAGCAGTGAATCTTTGTTATTTTTCGCTATTATTAAAAAAAGTGTTACTTTATGTTAACAAAAATAATCTGGAGAGAAATTTTTTTCGTTGCATTGCTGAATAAAATTCTACATATAATAATTTTCTGTGTATGTTTATCTGTATTATTTGTAGATTAGATATACAAAACATAATCAGATAAATTGTGATAAAAGTTAAAACAAACATTATAATGTATAAATCTTTATCAATAAATTTGCGACATCTATCTAATTTAATTTCTGATTAGTTTATATTTTAGTTAATCATATAAACTAGAAATAACCAATGAAACAAAGAACTATTTCATCCGGTCTGTTTCTTTTTTCTGAACTCGTCAAAAGTTTTTTTTTGTTCTTCTCTCTTTCTCTTCTTACATATTTCGAAACCTTTTTTTTTCTTTGTTTTTTCAATTTCTTTTCTAATTGTGCATGTGCTCATGCAAGACGATAAACAATCATCTATAGTCCGTCCAAAAGCTGTACCACCTATGTTTACACCTGTTTTAACACCAAATTCACAATCATCATCATCATCATCAACAATGCATAGTACAACTAATCGATTATCACAACAAGCTCTTACTGAAATAGGTACAATGATTCGTAAACATGATCGAGATGCATCACGTTTATATGATTGTATTGGTCAAGTTAAAGTTTTTTCATATAATTCAAATGAATTACGTTGGGAAAATTCACCTAATATTGAAGGTAATTTATGTGTCTATGAAAAACAACAAATAATAAATAATAAAACATGTCCATCATATGCATTTGCAATTATTAATGGAGATAAATATCTTATACAACCAATAACATCGGATATGGTACAACATGCTGATAAATTACGTTTATTTTATGAAGTTGCTCGTAATGATCGTCGTGAAGTTTTTTGTTTACATTTTTTAACTGAATCTGAATGTCTTCGATTACATACATTACTTACTCGATGTATTCACGCTATACGAACTATTGAAGAACAACAACAACA